GACAATGTTTTAGACAAATGTAATAATGTTTGAAGATTTAAGTAACATTTATTAACGAAACAATCAGACATGAGTCATTGAATTAACATTCAATTCCGTAATAAGGTAAAATTGTATTATGCATAGTAATTAAGTAGTTACGCTTATTTTTATGACAATTTACTTTAATTAAATGTCCATTGGTATTTCAATTTGGTTAAATAGTTAATTTGAGAGACTCTGAACCCAAAATTAATCAGTGAAGCCTAGATATACATTAACTCCCAAGCTTGCTATCGGTCAGAGCCATAAACCCACAGTAAAAGAGAAGATGGCTACCGTATCAGAAGATGAACATATAATTATATGTCATTTTTATTACCATGCAGTAAAAGACGGGTCTAAAATTGTTGCATTTCGGAATCGTTTATCTTAATGATATTGGTTAATTACAAATTGTACCAAAAAACCACTTCTTAATGTTGTAAAGATGGATTAGAAAGCGTGTAAATGTCCATGAATTTTTAGTTTCTTAAATGTTAACTTACAATTTAAGTCATACTACTGATATAAGTTTGCACTGGGAGATTAATTCCTCAACTTATGACTATATGATAAACAGAAACAGGTGTTTTTTTCTTGTTTTAATACACTCGGAAATATTCACAGCGAAATTTACGCAGTAATTTCTGAATAAAAGTATTTAGCTGAACAATTTAGGTAATTTAGCTTTACTTAGATTTCATTGAACAACTATATTTTGATATGAAAAACATTTTTTGTACAATCTCGTTGCATTATGGATTTTTTTTTAGAATTTCGAAAAAAAAAAAAAAACAACAAAAAACCCAGGATGAGCAAGTAAAAGGAAAACAGCCAATATGACGAAATGCATCTTTACATGCACAAACATGTCCCGCTCGCTTGGAATATATCCACACATGACGTCAAAAAGATGTTTATTAATAGAAATTATCATGTCTGATATAAAATGAGACAACACTTGAATTTTCATGAAGTTTGAAATATTTTAGTTTTATTTGAATTCAATTATGGTATCTAAAGTACTAAGGGAGATGCTTGTTCCCGAGTGTTTAATCTAAAGGTAAAGAATGCTTCAAAGTTGCATATTTGCCAAAAATCTTGCGCTATTTTGAAGATAATCTCATCCGAATGTTCGTTAGCCTGCGACTTTTTTATGAAGTATATTTGATAATATTGTGTATTATCGGAAATTTCTATTTTTACTGAAACATTAAAGATTAAAACAACTGTTTGAACATGAAACCGAGGTTGTGGTTAGTTTATATCGGGTTCAACTTTTGTTTCTCTCTGGGACGTTATTCATTACGACCACCCATGGCACAGACAGTGTGGGGCAATAACTAATATTTAGATTTGTAACTACCAGGACAATAAATACATCACAATTAAATAATTGATATTAAATTAATTGGCGTAACCCCAATGTTTCCCCGATATGGTTAAAAATCTTTTCCCGAACCAATCAAACATGAAACGTCCGTGTTACTTTAATGTACAAGCGAATGAATATTAAGATGCAAACATTAAGCATTTATTTCATTTCAATCCGTGTGTTCTTTCTCCGCTGAAATAAGATATACATGATAAAACCAAAATATTCTGAAGAAACTAGAACTTTTTATACGTCTTCAGACCATTCCTTCTACTAATATTCTATGGGCATACATAAATCACCTTTGATGGACCCTTATCCGGTAGTAATTGAAGAATAATACCTCAAATTAAGCACTTCCAAAGCCTCGAACGATTCCTGTAATTTGGCACAATGCATCTAGCGTTCCACATAATCGAATTTCTATAATTTGATAAGTCTCTAGCTTTCCTAATACTATAAAGCTTTAATCGATCTCCTTTGATTAATGACTGTAGATGTTATTGTAGTGTATCTTACGAAGCTCGCTGCTATAAAAGAATCACAAAAAACGCACCCAAAATTCAGACATTTCACTGTACTTTATGCTACCTAATTTGGGTGAAAGCCAAAATACTTTATATACCAGACATTGTATAAGATTACTGTAATGTCTGTGAGTGGCTCGAATGAAAGGAAACTACATTCGTCTACATGTGCGCTCCAGCTTATTTAGCGGATTCACGGTACATTAAAACAAACAATGTGCACTTGCTCCAGAGTCTGAGTGGTTCCGCATAATTAAAGATGGCGCTACGAGCGTCTCTGTAAAGCGCGAGCTCGCGCGCGGCATGCTGATGTCGCACTGGTCGTCTGCGTTTTATCTTTAGGGTCACGTCAGGTCAGTAAACACGCATAAACGTTTTATTTGACCTTAGGTGACCTCAGAATGCATGCTACTGCACAGTTCTCTGCATATTTTCCTTATTATCAGTAAAGTACAAAAGATTAAACGTGCAAACGCTTATAATCTAATTTGTCGTTTAATTGCACACGAACGATTACTATTTAATGTGAAAGTTGAATTTGTATGGTTATGGTAAAAATACATAAACAGCATATGAAATATGAAAAAGGTATAAAATAATAAAATACCACGAGTGTCTGCTACTATTTAAAAAATACTGTTGACGTCATTTTGTTCAAAATTATCATGAAACTAGTTTTAGTTTTTTTTCTGGTTTTTGTTCTTTTTTTTTTAAACACACAAAAAAGAAAAGAGACAGACGTTCCGTGTTATCTTACCATAGCACACTTTTAACGTCAGTATTAAAGTACTATAGGATTTTGACATGTATTTTTCCATTAGGGCAATGTTTTGAAAATCTAAATGAATTATTTATGTATGTTGCAATAATTCTAAGATTAGATGAGCTTCATCAGTGAGGTTCCCTCGAGGGACATGCACTGAGTAGAAAGATCTGACCTTCACAGATTGAACATAACAAGTGGATTGAAAGACAATCAGCTTCTTCTCCTACTGGTTTATAATTTGATCCGACATTTATTGGCGTAAATCTTTTCGCAAATTTGTTTCAAATTGAGTGCGATCATTATCAGTACAGATTCATATGTCACTTACAACATTTTGGTCCATTTTACAGATGAAAATTTCGTCAGAATTATTTCTGGATTCCCCACTTGAAAATTATCTATGAACATTACAATTATGCCCATTAGGCCTTTAATAGATACCGTCTGGCTAACTTGCTATAGGCAGATGGAGAAAGTATCCTAGACTGTTAGTTTTAAAATGAGAATATAATATGCCATTCCAATAAACTAAATAGGATAATTCTTTAGGTCAGTTTAAACTTTCACTGACCTCACTTTTATTACCACATGCAAGTACTTCTGTACCAGTATTGCCTTTTTATATTATATTTGCAGCATTGTGAAATTGAACACGTGTCTGTTTTGATTTCGTGTCACGTATATTTGTTGCATTAAAACATTTCATAGCGCATCAGCGAAAACAACATAATTTCCATTTAGCAGACCTGAAATATTGATTTTTAAAGTAACATTTTAATTTCTCCCTACAATCTTCATTATCTGCACGTGCGCATGGACATTTTAAACGGATTTCACAAGTTATGTTTTTTACGAATGTGGCGTAATTAGTATTTAATATTGATTTAGAAATGAAATAAAATAACATATCTTCTAAGTATTTTTCAAAGAAAACTCTTGCGGTTAAGTACACGCGTTGCGCGGTTTCACGTTATACTTATCTTAAGTGTTTAAAACCATTTTCATGTTAATTCAAACACGTACGCTAAAAGTACAATTTTATCAAAATAATTATAAATGTTATGATATACACGATTAAAACATCTAATTTCATATGAATTTTCCCTTGCATATATTTTCAGGTAAGCGAATATAAGATAAAAAATTTAAAATTGTGAAACTTTAAATTCTTCGACCAAAATTCAAATTTTCTGTATGTTGTTTTAAACGTAATATAACTAAAAATATGTGTAACTAACTATTAGTGCATAAAGGAACCAGCCAGTATGTCCTATTACTGCCAGACGCAAAGCTCTGCCAATAGTGATTATAGCTAATGAAAATCTAAACTTCCAGTCAATAGTATTTTATACCAAACTATTAACAATTTGTCTGCAGTAACAATGTTTATCAAACATCTATTACGCCTTGAAAAACGTTCCCGACTGAGGACAAGATGTAAATATAACCGACATTAATAGACCAAACATTCTCCAAGAATATTTGAGAATATACTTATAATGTATATTACATTTCTACAAGTGAATGTGGTCTAAAAACCTGTTAATATTATCATTATTACCATTATCATTTTTCGGATACATTTGTTTTATAGGACACTTTCTCTTTTTAGCCCCTTCCCTATTATCCCACCCCATCCTCTTCGTCCAGATTTTTATGATACGAAAACTACTGATACACTATGTATATCTACGGTTCATTAATATTATATGATTTTAACTGTGAAAATCTCATTGTGATATTTTTACCCGTCATAGAACTTAAATAAGTCTGACAAATATCCATAGATATCATGAATAACAGTAAAAGTATCTCTTCTTATCACTAAATTACATTTTTTTTGCATTCAACATAGGCTGAGAGTCATATCATGTATATATACCGACAAAATATAGTTAAAAACAACAAAAATGTTCATTAGGAATACAATATATCAATATGACCTGACATATTAAAGTTCAAATATTACTCAATTTTATGTTACTAATCATCAGTTACGTTATCCAGAGTAAAAACAACAGACTATGTTCAGTAACATCTAAAGTTAATAGATAAAACAAACCATTCAATCTCAAACTTAGGTAGGTCAATATTAAATATGTGACCGGGTGTAAGTTTAATCATTTCAATTAAATAAATTTACTCAATGTTACGCCCGTTTTAAACATTCAGTAATTGATAAAAATGAGAACCAATAAGATATTTCGAAGATATTAAATATATTCTTGAGAAGATATTCTTGACTTTTCAACCTTGGTTAATATGAGAATGATGAGATATCATCGATACCAATCAAGCCAATTGTACTTACCAGTAGATATCAATCCAAACAAGAATGCCAAACAGTGCACAATACATTTATAACGCCAAATTCCCATGCCTGTCCTGTACTGATGACACCAAAACGTCTTTTTAAAATAACCATACTGTCATTATCTCTTGTCCACTTGTTTATTTAAAAGCCCTAAATTTGATAACACATCCGTTTGTTGACAAATATAGAAGAATTCTGATAGTTTAGTCGATTAGTCCTGTAGTGGTGAATTTCGTCTGTACCATATGTGTTTTCTGAAACGATTATGGAATTTCCTATATTACTCACGAGTTTGATATAGACCTGATGTAATACTTAATCCTTTTTTTCTTGGCACACGCAAAATGTCTTTGAAACATTACGAAGAGTTCTTGACTCAGTAATTTCTCCCCCAATACCCCCCTGGTCAAATAATAGTAATATTGTCCCTGTGAATTTACGCGATAAGAATTGTATGATTGATAAAGTAAATAAAATACGATAAATATGTGTGGGATGTCAACATAAAAATTTGGCCAATTAATTGTATAACAACCACTTAAGACAAAGATATTACGAACTAACTTTACTACTTATCAAAGAAATCTGGCAGCTATTAATAATATGAAGATATGATGTACAAATATTGATCTTAAGAAATCAACCCTCTTTGATAAAAGTGAATCAAAGAGAACATACCAATAAATGTAAAACCACCTTGCGCAATGCAAATTCTCGGGATTACTCACCTCGCTTTAAAAAGTCGTCTGCTTTATCGGTATGTTATAACTATTTCCTTTATAAATTTACACCTCACTAAAATCCAAAGTGATGATTTTAATTTCGAATACATCTGTAAAATTTTAAGAAAGAAATAACTTTTTGTATTCACTCCATTTATATATAAATATTCCAATATTATTTTTTTCGAATTTTCACACTATCCATTTTCCTTTGGAGAAAACCGATGCCACCCAACTGACAGACGCTGAACAAGAGCACGCGCTCAGCAGACACCCTCTTCGCACGCGCCACGAGCGAACTATCATCTGCAGCCAATATACACCTTGCGAAGCGTCTTTCTATACTCTGTAGACAATTCCACATGAATTCATAGCAGCCAAGATACGCAGACGAATTTTTGATTATGAATGCATTCTGCATCTAGCATCAAACAAGTGTGAACAATAATTGCAAACCTCTGCCAGACGCTGATTTTCAAAAAAAATATGGCTTCTGTATAACTCAGATGAATAGAAGAGTGGGGCAGAACTATTGTTTCATACGTTTTCACAGACATATAAAATTACATCGTAGTTTCAACAGGCTTAATAAATAGCATCAGAATTTATCTGTAAAATAGCTACAAGCAAACATGTTTTCAAGTATTTCAATATGGGAATGATTTTATATTTTCAATAATTTATAAGAATGCTGGCTAGTTCCAGAGTCATGAATAATAAAGGTGCCAGCATTACGGTGGAGTAATTTATCAATTTGCTTGAAATATTTGTAATTATTTAATGAAATCAATACTGGCCTCTATTTTATTCTAAATATTTATACTTGTCATAGTGATATAATTAGAACAGATAGTAGCGTTAAACTAATATTGATTCGCATTTACTAAAAATAAAATCTTAAAATTCAAAATATTACAACACCAGTTGTAAAATAGAAAATTATGAAATTAAAATTTATGAGATATGGTTGGACATTTTGTGATACATATAATAAAATCATTTTCATTCGTAATGTAGTTTTTGTCACATCGGCACAGGGGAGGTATGACATACACGTGTTCTAGAATAACATGATATAGACAACAAAAATTTTTTTTTGCTTATTTAAATATATAATAAATATAACAAGGATTTTCACGTAATCTGAGAAAATCAGGGATTTCAATCATTGAACTAAACTGGTATACATGTATTATAGCAATTGTAAGATATATATTTAATGTACCTTCTAAATTTAAAGTTAATATGTACAGGGTAAAATATTTTATCAAAATACTATAGAATGGATAAGTAGCATACAAACTAAAATACATGTTTAGTGCATTTATTTGAAAAAAAAAGAAAAAAAAAGAAAAGTGTATAAGAAATATCTAATTCAAAGTTTTGTTTAAATCTGTTCAATTGTATAAGTGATTAAATGAAATCGCTGAATATATCACATTTATAGATTTAGCATTTATAGAATTACAGGAAAGAACGCATTTATTATAAATTTGGTTGAGATGAAGGATTTTAAAGGATGTTGAATATTTTTCTTGTACCGTTTCTGAGTTTTAAAATATTGTCTCCTCACTGGAACACATGGTTATGAGTATAACGAATTAATAACATCCGAGAGTTGTTCAGAAATATTGTAGATTTTCTTTATAAAATGGAGAAAAACAGACTCCCTAAAAACAGCCCAACACCGCAAAACTGAAAATGTTGCAGGCTCAGTTTGATGGACGGTAGTGGTAATTGCAAAAACGTTTCGCTTCTATAAAGCTATCGATAGAAATTTTGTCGGTGAATTTCCTTATCATTTTGCTATCTTATCACCAAATTATCACGTAGAATCATCATTGTAGGCAATAAAATAAAAAAACAAAAAAAAAATAAAAGTTTGTTTAATTTCGAAATAAATATATATTCTTTTTTCCCAAAAATTTTTTAAAAAATTTTTGTTTTCAAAAAATCATTAATTTTAATTTAAATCAAAACATTACAAATTTAAAACTTAACCGAAGTTTAATTCCTCTTCCCCGAACAATATACTTGCATAGTTTTTAAAAAATTAAAACAAATTGTTAATTTTTAAAAACTTTACCACTCGGGGACAAAGTATGACACATTATTTTTACTTCTTTTCCTTTATGTTAAGTGTCTCTTATAGGAAATGCGACAGAAAATGCCATGTTAATTAATGATAATTATCGTCAACATTGTAAGTCATTACATTTATTGTCACACATGTTTCGTTGTCCGAAGATATCAGTGAAAAAACTGTTGTTTTTTTTGTTACATTACAGTGATAAGAAGATTTCATTGACACAAGATGTTCATATTTTTATGAAAGGAGTACATTGTATATATTTACGGTAAATCATGTCTAAATTGGATTCTTTGTAATCAATAAAATTATCTTGCCAGATAGTATAACAAATGTATATCAATATGGCAGGCAACACATTTGTTTGTGATTTCATCAGATATTTGCATCCGAACAAAATGAACCAATACTTCATATTAGTGTATAAGCAAGTGCTAGGGGCGTTAGGATGTTTCATTTTCCATTATTACTTAGACTCAATCAAATCAGTTTACAATTTTCACTTTCAAGTCTCTTGAGGGATCCCTGCTTTTCGTCATGTGCTGCGTGCCAACTGTAAAATGAGCCGCGTCATGACAAAACCAACATAACGGGTTTGCGACCAGCATGGATCCAGACCAGCCTGCGCATCCGCGCAGTCTGATCAGGATCCATGCTGTTCGCTATCAGTTTCTCTACTTGTAATAGGGTTGGTAAGCGAACAGCATGGATCCTGATCAGATCCATGCTGGTCGAAAACGCATTATGTTGGTTTTGTCGTGACGCGGCTCAAATGTTGCCCCGTACTTCACTTCAATTTTGTGATATTTTTCTGGTCCTTCGGGATCATTGATTCCAATACTTTATAGTGTTGAAGATTGAATGCTGCTCAAACCGGTGCTAGGGGGCCTGAGAGATGTTGCACCACATTTCATTATCTATCATGAGCAGACTCAATCAAACCGAGTCTGCAATATTTAATTTCATTGCTCCCGAGGGGATCTCACCTTTTTGCAGATTGTTTTAACCCGCCAATATTTCTTTTTATTAAAGTTTTACATATGTTTTAAATCTCTATTTCAGCTACATATAAAAGCGTTTTAAACAAGCGAACATGATGTATAACACACCTCACAGAAAGTTCATATTTAATTACCAAATTTATGATGTAAGTATAGCTTTATAGACACTAGAATGGCTTTTTAATGTACATGACTTCCGGAAGCTTTTTAAAATCTCATAACACTTGTGCATCCACAAGTAGTGCTATAATTAATTTAGTGTCAAGTGTTCGGCGGTAGACTGTTCACCATTAGTTGATAATTTATGAGTATTTTGATGAATGTTGCGTAAAATAATCTTAGGTATACATAAAGACAAGAATGTTAATGAAGAAAGCTTTAATATTATCACTAAAAACTTTACGAATTTAATTGCAGATTAAGAGCACGTTGGAATTCTGTTAAACATGGTTGATTTTTAAATTGGTCTTGTAAGAAGTTCATTAAATTCATCTCAACGAATTGTTAAATTCAACTAAAGACAGTATGTTTTAGGAGCAGTCTTGCACAACACTTTATCTTAGAGCATTGAAAAGAATTTCTCTATCTGAAACAGAATATATCTTAAGAAAAGTTTTCTAGTAATCACTTGAAATAGTTTCCTATGATATACTTTGTAAACGCATCTGGGTTAACGTTTCTGTGACGTCGACAATTAATCAAACGTTTGCACCTGACTAAGGCAATTCATCTTACAGTCAATAAATAATTATATAAAATACATGTATGAATATTTCCGCAAAGATTTTGAAACACATAGAATATCACGAAAAGACGCTTCTTGTACTTCAGTGTTGTTATATTTTTTCTGGTCCTTTCGGTACCATCGATGTTTAAGATTGAAAATCGTTAAGTCGGTGCTAGGGTGTGTGAGAGAGATGTTGCATATTTAAATTATCAGACGTGATTAAACCGAGTCTGCAGATTTATATAATAATTATATTTCAATGTTTTCCAGGGATCAATCTTTTCAATCTTTAATAAAATCATGTATTAAAATCAAAAGATGTCTGTTAATTTAAAAGGAATATACATATATATTATAATCGATTTGAGTGTGCACTTATTTTCTTTGGATTTATAAAAAAATATCAGAACCATTTCCATTGTCTTTAAAAGAAAAGGTTTTTATCCTTATTCTGATATTAAAATGTTTATAAGTAAATCACAAAATTAATTCTCGTACGCTTCTCGTACTAGTTAACATGTAAGCGACCCACTATGAACTGTTTCTGGGCCCGAGGTTTATATAATTGAGATCTAAAAGTGTTGACTCAAGGATTAGATACGAATTTAACATTTGAAATTATGAACGTTTTTTTTTGTATCATAAAATTGAAAAAAGACAGGGAAAAAACCACAACATTTTTTAGTTTAAAGACAGGAAAGCTTTATCGTACAGTGAAACAAACCTCATGAGCTTAATTTGCGAACAACAAATGTGCTGTGCTAAGTTTCAAGAACATATCGTCGCCTTGGCTTATTGGACATAATAATTTGGACAGAATAGTTTGTTTTATATGACTTTGCATGACTTTTGCGATAAACTACAAGAAAATCGAAGGCCTGGTACAAAACAATTGCATTTTTTGGGCATCGTATTAGATTTCATACTTATCTCTGCCAATGTGCCACCGTCAAACATTTTCAAAAACAAAGCTTTCACTTTGTTAGCACTTAAGAGAACAAGAAAACGTTTATTGTGACAAAGTAGAAGCATGTCCGATACAAAATAAATGTTCTTGTTAGGATAAACTGTCATAAGTTCGCTTTGCAGAATAGTTTGGTTTCAGCAATTTACAATTCTCATCTGAAAGCATTATATTACAAAAGAATACATTATATATAATATTCTTGCAGACAATGGTTGCATGAAACAAAAGATCTTGCCAGATTTTCAATTCATATGCATAATGCAATGTATGATTTGTATAATTCCAGGGTCTTTAGATAAATAAATCCCGATAAGCATCTTTGTCGGCTGATATAAATAATTTTGCTTGCGGTGCATCTTTACTAGTCATTTGGACCAAAGTCTAGAAGTTGTGCCCTTTCTTGGCATTTTTTCAAAAACAGTTTTTGATACATACTTAATGCCTATCAAATGGACTAGCTTTCAAGTTTAGTAATCTGTTTTTGGTAGGTCTTGCAATTGTCTTCCTCTTGCTGTCAATCTATACGAGATATTCACTCAAAGCTCAAGTTGCCCATCGAATTAACGATTTGTTACCAACGTTACATTTATAATATTTTTCAAAGCAAGGTATTTTCAAGGCTTAACTGTCACATGCAAGGGACTAATAAAGTATTTCCTTGTTTGGTAATACTCGATTAATGAGTAAACAATTTATTATTCCAATCGAAGACAAAATGA